CCCGTGTGCATACCTATCGCAGTCGTTCAGTCCTGCTGAAAGGAATTATCCCATTCATGATCGCGAGCTGTTGGCTATTATCCGCGCCCTCACCCATTGGCGACACTACCTCGAAGGACATCCACAACCGGTTATTGTGTTTACTGATCATATGAACCTCCTCTATTTCGCAAAAGCAGAACGCCTATCTAGAAGGCAGGCCAGATGGCAACTACTCCTCACTTCTTTCGACTTAAAGTTATATCACGTTCCCGGTACGAAATTAGCAGTTCCGGATGCCCTTTCTCGCCGGCCGGACCATGGCGACGGATCGGGAGATAATGCTGACGCCGTCCTCCTTCCTGATTCCATGTTTATCCGGCTAATCGATGATGAATTACGAGCAGCTATTGCTTCCACCGCACCCCTTGCCGACCCCCTCTTCTCTGCCGCACAAGATGCCCTTAATGGCCTATGTTTGCCTCCTATGAAATCATCGCTTAGCGACTGGCGTATCGCCGATGATATTCTATTCTACAAAGATAGAGCTTATATCCCTCCCGCACATCGCCCGCAGTTACTCCGGAAGCATCATGATCACCCTTCGGCAGGACATCCCGGACGCTTTAAAACCGAAGAACTCGTCAAGCGGGAAGCCTGGTGGCCCAGTATGGGCACTTATATCCGCAATTACGTCGATGGCTGCGCTACGTGCCAACAGATGAAGGTGGACACTCACCCTGTGACTCCACCTCTACACCCTATCAGTACTATGGCTACTCGCCCCTTTTCCCAGATCTCTGTCGATCTCATTACTGATCTCCCCGTTTCATCTGGCTTTGATAGTGTCATGGTCGTGGTAGACCACGGACTTAGTAAGGGGGTGATCATTACTCCTTGCCATAAAACAATTACCTCGGAAGGAGTGGCAAAGCTATTTTTAAAACACGTTTTCAAAAGATTTGGTCTCCATGACAAAGTAATCTCCGATCGTGGACCACAGTTCTTATCCAGATTCTCGATCGAACTTGCACGACTCCTAGATTATTCTTTAGCCCCCTCCACTGCCTACCACCCACAAACCGACGGACAGACCGAACGGTTAAACCAGGAACTCGAGACGTATCTTCGAATGTATTGCCAGAACAATCCTTCTGAATGGGTGGAACATCTCCCTATGGCAGAATTTGTTCACAATCACAGAAGACACTCCGCAAAAGATGCATCCCCTTTCTTTATCATGATGGGATACGAGCCGAAGGCTCTCCCATACTTACTTCCGGAATCGGACGTTCCCGCTGCTGAGGAACGAGTCAGAATTCTTCAAAAGATAAGAGAAGAAGCCGTCTCCTGTCATAACATTGCTATGCAACGCATGGCGGAAAGATCCTTCGGACAGAAGTACGAACCATGGAAAGTCGGAGATAAGGTATGGCTGTCCGCTGCCAATCTAAGACTAAAGCTCCCATCCCGGAAACTGGCACCCAAGAGATACGGCCCGTTCGCTATCACGGCTGTACTATCCGCTATCACGTTTACACTCCAGTTACCACCGCAATGGAAGATCCACCCTACGTTCCACGCTTCGCAACTATCCTCCTATCGCGAAAATGACGTACACGGTCCGAACTTCCTAGAACCACCACCTGATATTCTTGAAGAAGAAGAAGAATATGAAATAGAAGCAATCCTCGCACATAAAGGAAACGGAAATCGCCGTCGATATCTCGTATCATGGAAAGGGTATTCTTCGGCTAGCAACGAGTGGATCCCCGAAAAGAATCTGGAAAATGCCGAAGAGACCCTTAGAGCCTATAAAGCCAGAAACGCGCTTTGAGGTTACTCAGTACCTCGACGACATCATTCTTACCCAAATACAAAACCTACAAACAGAATGCCCTTCCCCACATCCACCTACACGCTCCCATACCACTCCACCTTCGATACCGCCCCCCTTGATTCCAATGACGAACGATACGAGACCTTCATCACCCAAGCTGAAGACCTCACCCTCATCGAGGCAGCACTCCTCTGCCCCCAACATGCTATTGAACTCACCAGAGTTCTCTTCGGAAGAAACGCCCATTCCATTAACCTCCTCATCAACATCATCCGAGCCACTGAAATCATCGAGCGAGTCTGCCGCCTCGTCGAAGACAACACAGTTCGCCACAGCCTCATGCATATGCAGAGGCGCATACGCAACTTTGCTTTGCGTCTTATTCCTGAGGAAGTTAAGGATGATATTAGAACAGTCATCCACATTGTCGCAGAGCAGACCGCAGGAGTTGCTCGCCCGCCTTCTCCTACGAACCCCGCAACCACAGATGGAGTCCCTCCTCCCTCTTATCAAGACGCCGTACCTACTCTTCCCGCTAACGTTCCTAATGAGCTATTGGCTGCGGTCAATAATCTTGCGCAGACAACGGAAGCCATAATGGCATCCCTAAGAAAAGAAAATCCCCAAGCAATTCCCGTCCCAGCTCCCGCCGTAGAAACCATCGAACATCCTCCTCATCTTTATACTGCATTTTCCGCCACCCGCGAAGAAATCGCTGCTGACCCAAATCATCAGTACCTCTCACACTACGAGGTGCAAGATCTAGCCGACGCACTGGCTACACTCCATATTCATCCCCCGCTCGTCATCCCGAACTCATTATCTTCGCATACCTTTACGGATGGGATCGTACCGATACAAGCGTTGGGAAGAACCCAACCTGCCACTTCCGCTGAGCTAATCGCGGAGGCAGAACGACAAGATGTTGCCGTCCACCATCCTATACAACGAACCGCCCCATCCAGAAAAAGAGTACGAGGCCAGCGTTCCCGTACTGATAAAGGGAAGAAACGCGCCACCAGCGCCGATGAAGCACTTAGCCCTAAACCGGGTCCATCGCCCTTACGAGCAACCTCCTCTAACCCCGATGAGAATCGCGTTTGCAGATACTGCAAGACGCTCGGGCATAGGCAAGTTCATTGTCCCGAATACTACTGCCGCGTCTGTCGAGAATTATCTCCAGGCCATCTTTCGCTCTACTGCCCGCACTACACTGGGGAATCCCCCACCTCCTTAACCTGGAAGGACGATGGATTCTACCGAACCCTCGCACTCTGGGAGAATGATTTGGATGACGCATATGCCGCCCAATGTAGGGAAGAAGAAGCGCTCTATGAGTTAGAACGCATGAAAGCCGGACCAGACGAAGGTCCAGATGCCCTCGATTACTCGGACGATCCTATCTACTACGCTAACCAGGATGATTGAATCCGGTGGCTTCAACCCTAGTAAGGGGGTAATGTTACAATCGCTCTACTTCCTTTACTTCTCACGTATCTGCCATTACGCCTTACATTCTTAGCAGCTTAGCTTTCCTTTCTTGGTCTTACTTCCGTATTCGACCTTTGTACTATTATCTCACCGTAGCCTTGGTCCGTGCGCATATAGTTTCCTATTTAAGCACGTGTACTTTACTTAGAAACGTCACTTCAATCTTACTAGGTTTTACCCTGAAAACTTCCTTCGCTTAAGACCACCAATCTTAAGACGTCTGAACCGATCTCTTAGTCAAAGCACTCCTTTGACTAAGTCTACGAACCTCTTCTTATTTGAAGAGCTATACAAGATCTCAACAACGTGAACGCTCTGTTGAGCCTTTGTTGTTAAGAACTATCCTAGTTCGTAACATTCCCTAACTCATGAGATGAAACACCAACACCGGGCCGGAGAAATATCCTACTGGGCCTATCAGGAAATTCCTGCACTTGCACATGTATGAAGAACATCCCGCTGGGCCCAACCGTCAGCCTTTCCGAGATCGTGTATGTCTCTCATGGGCCAGAAGCAATAACTCGCTTGCCCTCCGAGACCAAATGCACAGTCCATACCCCATATTCTTATTTATCAGCCCTTTCAAGACCAAATACATTCTCTTGGGCCACAAATTACCAGCAGTGTCCAACTATCGGTCCTTCTAAGATCATGTAGGCCTATCATGGGCCAGAAGCAATAACTCGCCGGCCCTTCCGAGGTCACATGTACTGTCCAATTCATTATTCTTGTTGGTCAGCCCTTCCAATATCATTTGATGCCTATCTTGGGCCAGACACAATCACTCGCTGGCCCTTCTGAGGTCACATGTACTGTGCAAGCCATATATTCTTATTGGTCAGCCCTTCCGAGACCAAACACATATTCTCTTGGGCCAAAATCACCAGCCGGGCCCAACCATTAGCCCTTTCAATATAATGTAAGCCTACCATGGGTCAGAAACAATAACTCGCAAGACCAAACACATTTTCTTGGGCCGAAAATAACCAGCTGGGCCCATCAGTAAGCCCATCCAAGACTACCCAGCATTTGTACTGGGCCGAACAATAACCAGCTGGGCCTTCCCATACGCACTGCCGAGATCAATACATTTGGGCTGCATGATAAATGGAACCATACATTGCATCTCCGGCTGGGATCATATGCATATCTGGTGGGCCTATCCACCATTCCTTCTGGAAGATCCTGTACGGCTGTCCAGGTATCCGGCGCACCATTTATGGGTGAGAAGTGGATTGAGGCCTACTTTGCCTATGGAAATTTCGTCATAGACTGGTTTACCCCTTTCCGGGTATCCGATGCACCATTTATGGGTGAGAAGTGGATTAAGGCCTACTGTGCCTAGAAAATTTCGTCATAGACCATTTTACCAATTTCCAGGTATCCTATGCACCATTTATGGGTGAGAAGTGGATTAAGGCTTGTTGCGGTGCATGCAAGATAAATAAACTACCTCTGATTGCGATAACACATGCACCACAACAGGCCTTAATCCACTTCTCACCCATAAATGGTGCATCGGATACCTGGAAAGGGACAAAATTTCCCAGGCACAGTGTATTCTCACAGAAAATCAATTTCCCGGTCATGGGGTGTTGCTGCTTGGCTTTGTAAATGTATTTTTGCTGCAGCAGTGAGCACTCACTGCAGTCACTGCTCGAGACACTATCACTCTTGTTGTCAACATCAGATGTCTGGACTGCTCCGCCTGAAACTCAACTGTATTGTCTTGGGCGATAATCCTTGCCGTATTTTCCCGGTTGACATTGAGCAGACGGAGATTGTCAGTGACCTCAAAGAGGTCATCAAAGACAAGAAAAGGCCGGAGTTTGACCATGTTGCCACTGACCATCTTGAGTTATGGAAGGTGAGTGATCTGATGCCTAGGATCAGATGTTGATAATCTGATATTTTGGAAGGTCGACCTGCCTATCGACGAGATGATTGAGCACAATCTCAACAATCTTACACTTGACCCAATGAAATCCCTATCACCTGTGGATCAAATGGTAGAGATTTTTCCCGATGCTCCTCCGTGCAAGTATCTGCATATTATTATCCAATGCCCACCTGCCGGTGAGTTGTCCTTTGATATTGCCACCCTTTCCTCACTGATCATGGTCCAACTTAGTGTCTTCCAGACCGCTCCACCTGAAACTCAACTGTATTGTCTTCGGCGATGATCCTTGCCATATTTTCCCAGTCGACGTTGAGCGGACGAAGACTGTCGGTGACCTCAAAAATGTTATCAAGGTCGCCAAGAAGCCAGAGTTTGACCATGTTGCCGCCGACCATCTTGAGCTATGGAAGGTGAGTGATCTGATGCCTATGGTTGAATGTTAATAATCTGATATTTTGGAAGGTCAAGATCAATTTGAACGATATAAAGTTATGGAACGCGATCATGGACGGAGGCGTCCAGCTGTGCCTGTTAACCGAGCTGTCCGATGTGTTTGCGGATGGAATAGAGCGTGGATGTATTCATATTGTCGTAAAACATCCTGCCGTTGCACGACACATTCCAGCTGTTGATAGGCGAATCACTTATTTCAAGAAGGGCACGGGTACTCCGTCGGCCAGTGCAAAACCATCCGCATTCTCTACGAAGCAGGACCAGCAAGAGTACCTTTGAATCGGAAGGATATTCGACAGCCTGACGGTGCATGGGATGGGCAGAAGATTGTGGTGGAGCATGATTTGGATATGCTGAATTATCTATTTCATCCTGAGCAAGATGTTCGGGAGCCAGCTGCAAAGCACCGCCATATATTAAGTGAAGGGTCGCTGATGGTCATTTGAATCATTTATCATTTGTTGCATTGGCTTAATACCAGTCTGTTTTTTTATCATAAAGCTCACATACAATGACTTTGGGAGAATGGCGACATAGATTAGTATCTGTTGTATTGTAGCTAGCCAATTCGATGATTGCCGATGACACACGCCTTCTCACAAATCTCAGTGAGGATTCTACTGTACATAAATGGAATACATGGCCTCATCCTCAGCAGATATAGCGATAAAATGATCTCAGAGTGGATGGTACCTCGGGGCCGTACAGGATCTTCCAGAAGCAATGGTAGATCGGCCTTTCCTGATGTAGATGCCAAGAGTTTAGCCTATGGTAGCCATGGTGGTTCTCTACAATAGTCTTACACTTGGTTCACACATATGACTCTCCACAGTTGTCGGAATGCCCATAACCGACGGGTTGATATAGAACCCGGCTGCTGTCAGACATTTTCCCGTACAACAATCCCCCTTCCGTATATCCTGTGAATTGCAACATATCCTATCAGCAACGGACCCCGTTATGCCGCCAGCTCTTCCATCCGGCAAATCCCTCGACAATCTGATTGCTGCGAGGGCGATGGAACCAGAGCTTGTATTACCAGCACCAGACCCAACGGCTGCAGGTGTGCGAACTCTGCCACACCTCCCCATCAAGCATTCAAGCGCAAGATCTATTTACGGCGAGACCCAGAACCACCCGCCAAACGGGTTCACTTGGACTACCGGCACATGGTTTGCCAATATAGTCTCGAGATCCATTGGGACCTATTTTCTTCGGTTCCGATGACCTGTAGGTATTACAGCCCGTCTGTTGCCCAATATGCGTAAGATATCTGGTCCCATGGGTTTGGGCCATCAGTCGGGCCCGGGTGCCACAGCCTACCGAGCATAAGACAGGATGCACCTGTCAGTCGGTCACGGATACAACGACGTGCCCATCATTGTTGGGGACATAGTTCTGGAGCCATCAGCCGGTCTCAGATATGAAAGCCCAACCGTCGTCGATGAGGACCTAGGTATCAGTTCCGTCTACATCTGGGACATCCGCCGGTACCGGGTACGATAGCCTGCCCACCATTGGCTGAGATGAGGTTCAGTTCTAGGCCCATCCGCCGACATCTGCCTGTACCGCGCATGACAGGCTGTCATTCCCTGCGCATCATCGCGGATGGTACACGTATGGTGCATCCCTCCGACATGTATATCAACGTCGGATCCGGATCAGCATTCGTATCGAACTTTGTCCCGTATTTCATTACTCATTTCTGTTGCACCAGTTGCATCTGTAAAACTAGTCTCTGACACAAAGTGCACTGACTTGGCCAAAATTCCCTAGCCAAGCCCTTCCGAGATCCAATGCTTGCACTGGGCTTATCCGGAAGCCGCTCCGAGATTATTTGCACATGTACTAGGCCGAAGAATATCCTGCTGGGCGCAACTGTTGGCCCTTCCAAAATCAGATGCCTATCATGGGCCAGACCACATAACTAGCTGGCCCTTCGAGAATATAATGCAGTCCCATGCCATATATTCAGCTTAGTCGGCCCTTCCGAGATCAAATGCATATTCTCTTGGGCCCATCCATAGGCCCATCCAAGACTACCCGGCATATGTACTGGGCCGAACAATAGATGGGACTATATGTTGCCCCTCCGGGCGGGATCATATGCATATCCGGTGGGCCAAAAAAACTTGCTGGGCCCATCCGTGACCCCTACCAAATCAGTATCACATCCATATACTAATGGCTCGCCCATCACTACCGGAAATTCCTTCATGGTAGGCCCACCCGACTTGCCTGCATATTGGGGCCCACCCCAATCTGCATGAATGTGCATGTGCTGGGCCAGTTCGGGCCTTCCGGATATTGGTGCACTGGGCCTAAACCTTACCAGCCGGACCGATCCGCATATTGAATGTGAGGACCAATTGGGCCCTTCCGGATGCTTGTGTACTGAGCCAATCTGCACCTGAATTTGTTATGTGCCCAGGTCTTGCATATTTGACCTATCCGCACACTGAGATGGTATATACTGGGCCCAAAATAACCAGTTGGCCCATCCACTAACCCTTCCCAGTATTGTGATGGGCCCAGGAATGAGCGGTCAGCTCACTTGTGCCCGCTTCCAATACTGTCAATAACCAGCTGGGCTCATCCGTAAGCTATTCCGATACAAGCTGAGCCCATTTGCCAGCCATGCCTGATACTATTATGGGCTCAAAATTTTCCTGTTGGCTCTTCCGACATCAAATTTCCCCAAGAATAAGTAGCTAGGCCCATCTGTACCCCCCTTCCGAGATATATAACTGGGCCCATTGTTAAGACCATGCACAAAGGATAGGACTGATTCTGAGGGGCTTGGCTTCAGCTTGTGCGCTGCGCCCCTTACCCGAGTATGTGCCCTTAATTTTAGATTGATGTCCGAGGACTAATATGATATTCAGACTGAGGTACTACAAGACATATACACGAGTTTATATACTAAAAGAAATAACGGAAGGATCAATAAGCAGAGTCCGAGGCTATGTACAAAGCATATGCAAAGGTTGACAAATGCGAGTCGGAAATGAACATAGGTTAATGGATCAGTAAGCATACCGGTAATAGATATAACCAACACAGTGGAATAGAGGAAATACCGAATAGGCTGTGTATAACATTATAAGAACAGGAAATGAATTAGGAAGCTTATCTATATTGGATCGGAAGCGGATCTATACATCGGATCGGACCGAATCGGATATGGTCTGGATGAGATGCGTGGATATATAGGATGTGGCATTAGGGCGATGGGATAAGGATGGATGATGCAGGCTAGCTGTGAAGGATAAGGGATCTGGACATGGACATGCGGATGTGGATGTGCAGAGGTGCAGGGATCCAGATGGGTACTGGAGACATGGATAGGACATCCGAAGGTCCGGATGAGGCGTGGGAATATTATCGGATGTAGGTCCGGAATATGGGATATGACACCCATGTACCTTGTGGCCCATTACAATTGTCCCATTCATGCTATGGCATCCACACTTGGCCCACCTGCTAGCATGGGCGCTATTCCACACTGTGGGCCCGCCTAACTGGGTCGATTCTCAACCTTTGGCTGTCCGACTAAGTCGAAAATAAAGTACTGAATTATGTGATTCTACTTGCCTTTCAAGTAAGATTGTGGGATGCTTGTGCTGCCATTGAAGTGACTGACCTTGCTGTGAGTGAAGATGCTATCCTAGCTGTAGGTAATTATGAGAAGACTATCAAGCTCACTCTTCAAGTATCTAACTTGAACAGCTCCAGGAAAAGATGTTCTCACTTTCCATCATCCCCAGTCGTCTTTTTACCACCATAAAATTCATTTGGGACAAAGTCACTGGTAACATCAATCTAACTTAGTGATAGCCATAAATTGTGGCTGAATGACCAAGTGATAAGCTGACAATGATATTTGGCTGACCTACCACAATAGCGACACTCAGGTGAGCAGTTATTATGTGTTATTTAATTTACTTTTAGGTTAGTTAGACCAGTGTAGAAGAGGAACCTTGACTATAGGTGAAAACACTTAAAACAAATGGGTGCTCTACAGCAAGACCAGGATACGAGACAACGACTCGACCCAAAGGACAACCACTGAGAGAAGTTCCTCGAAATAAAAATGGAGGGAAACTGTATGAGCTAGGCAGGCACTAGCAAGCATGAGAAGGTAACGCACGCGAAGCGAAGGCGTGCCTAGAACGTTAAGGGAAAGGTCCTATTTGAAGAGTGGATGCACAGATGGATGGTTGACAGGAGAATCAGATCAGATATCAAGTGAGGAGGTGATCTATACACTTTCCAGTACACAAAGATAAAGGGAAAGTAAGTACTAGAACCCAAAGATTCTCTTCTGTATTTAAGAATGGAGATTACACTATGCGGCGCGCTTCCGAGCGCGCTCCCAAACTGAGTAACCATATCAACTCTAATTATAACTAAGTTTAAATAGACTTTCTATATGTAGCACGGATTTCGGACCGAAGATTTGTTAGTTCAATGAAGGAGATAGGAGTAACGCACCAGCAAATCAGTAAGGACATGGGATGAATGGACGGACAATAGCGCGAAGACCTAGGAGGAGGCGCGCATAGCGCAAGCGCAGGTAAGGCGTGCTCAAGTGCGCGCGAGACTGGTCCTTTGGATTAGAGCTGGATCATATAGGAATGTATGGATAAAGGCCAGATACGGGGCATTGAGACGCGCGAGTCTCTACACCGGTTGCTTTTAAATTGAGATTTGTTTTGAGGGTGATGCATGGTGGCTATGTAAGGACAAGACTATACAGTAACTCAACAGTCCTTACAAGATATGTAGTGTGAGGCAGGAATATAACAGCCAATTAATCTAAGGTGTGATGTTGAAGGTTCTTCATTTCAGTGTACAACTTGGAGTGAGTGTGGCTACAATGCTTAGCCAGCACCTGATGATGCATTTGTTGTAATTTGTGGCTTTATAAATCTACCTGCATACACTGTTCCACATGCATGGTCATGCTAGACCTCCAGTTACAATCAAGGTGATGGCATATAGCCACACAGGCATTAATGCTCCTCCTTTGGTTTGACTTTACTGGAAAACACCACACCTATAGTTTGTAAAAATATATACATTAGTCTTTTACAAAAAAGCACCTAAGTATCTATAGTGCTGGCCAGTCTCTCTATAAATAGTATTAACTAGCATTAGTGTGCATCTATGATATATATATTGTAGTGGACCAGCCTGCCTAGGACAGATATTGCAGCTGGCCAGTGTCTCAAACTTAAGTGTTGGAGTAGGCCACTACTTTATTTATGCCACATAAATTAGTGCATATGCAGAATCTGTGCTGGTCAGATTTGCATAGATGTTGTATGTGTGCTAGCCTATGTATATGCATGAACAAGGGCAAAAGCAGGACAAGGTCCTGTAAGATTTATCAGTGTTCATCAGGGAATGTATAAATTCCCTGATTTACCTGAAGTTGCTGACAGCAGGTTAATCAGACAGAACAGTTAGTCAATACATTAGATATGGTCTGAAATCAGGCAGGTCCATCTGATATGAGACCTCTGTCCAAACAACAGGATGATCAGTAAAAGAGACTTTCTGAATGCCATTCTGTCATTCAAATCCAATAATCAGCCACAGGTTTTCCCAATACATCATACAGATCAATCTATCTTGTCATCATCACATTAGAAAGCATTGATTTCAGACATCCACATAGCAAAGCATTAGGTATATCAGGTCATCTCAATACATCATCTTAACAGATTGTCAGAATAAATATATAATCATTAGAACCTTTGTAGTAGCATATCAGGTGCCCATTACCCCAGCACTTCAGATCATCGTCACAGTCTGACTATCAAGTACTCCAATTGATCCTATAGGCATCACATCATATTTATCAGAAAAATGCAAATAAAGTTCGTTCATATTGTCTGGAATGCAGTAAAGTAACAATAGGTTCAATATAGCAATGAATTACAAAATAAGACAACCAGAGCACCCAATCAATGAGAGGCAACAACAAGAGCATAGCAAAGAAAATGAACGAAATCAAACCATCAACGAAATATCAGGTCCAGAGTCCATTCCAGAATCATCTTCAATGCAGGCAGCACGCCCATTAGTCTCCATGCTGTTCCTTTGTGCCTGTGCACGACGAGACGGCCGCTTTCAATGAACATCAATGAAGGCCTTCGCACCCTTGAAGATCTTCTTCCATTTCCTGTGACTAGCTTTATTGAGAGATTCCATCACCAATGCAGTGCAGTCGTTCCAGAGGCCCTCGGCAAGTTGTGAGTGTGCAGCTCTTTTCGGTTTCACATCAGTCCCCATTGACACATCTTCCATGCACGTTCAACCTGGTTATATGTTAGCATTGTCTGGCAAATTGAGAAGAAGCATACTGCAGCTGTGGCAATGACCAAAGCTCCCTTTGGCATACTTTGGCAGCAGGACTCCTTTGGAAGATTGTGCACATCCTCCAGGTAGAGTGCAAAAATGTCCAGGATACATGCATCTTCAAAGGCACCTCGACAATCCTGTTTTGCAAGTGAGTGAACATAAACAGGCGATATTTCAGCACATACTTCAGTGCCTTGTGAACTACCTTTGACTACCTTCCACATGTAAGGATAGATATTGGGATTGACCCATGTAATACAACCAGCTGCGTCGACAAGCTTGGTTTGTTCAGGGACGAGAAACGCGACAGCTACACAGATCACAACAGGGTCCCATTTGTTCCTTTCTAAGAACTTGTAAACTACAAGTTCAGCTTGTTCTCTGAAGTCACTGTGGTAATTGTACGCGCATTGCATTAACTATGTGAATCAATAATAAGAAATGAGCAGCCAGTAGCAAACACCACGTACCAGTTTGTAGACTGGATCATTCTTCTTTGAGACAACATGCGTGATGTTTGGAAAGACACGGTCCCAGATATCATGCATTTCATCAGCATAGTCTGAGATATCCCATATATTGTCCAGGCAGGAAATGAAGTCGATCCACATAGGAACAATGTGAGAGTCGAATTTATGGTGTGACCCTGCAGGAAGGTCACTTTTCGTAAATTTGATGCGTCTACCTTGTGGTGCTTCGGACAAGTCGTCCTCATCATCGCTGGATAATTGAGCCTACGGTTCAACTAATTAGTCATGTGCATTTTATCAGCTTTAACACGTACATTGCGAGAAGAACGGTTCAACATAGGCTTGTTCCTGGTGCTTGAACCAACAACTCCTCTATTGTTGTGAGTGGATCTATATTGTAAAGGTGGAGGTAGGTCCTAATTAAACCCTGCGTGATTAGTACAGGGAAATTTTATCTAAGAAAACAAACCTTGGTCAAAGACAGTTTCGCTTTCATGGGGCGAGATGTGAGTTTCTGGTCGTCAAGGCTATCATTGCTTTCCTGTCCACTGTCATCGATATTCCTGTACCACTCTTCAGCACTGAAGGTTTTCAGTGGAGGTTGCAGTCAGGTATTCTGACAAGGTTTATGCAAATAGTACAAGAAGTTAGAGAGATGCAAACCTTGTGGGACAAGGTGGATTTGTCAGGGAGACACATGAGTTCCTCATCGTCTTCATAGTCTTTATCTAAACCATCATCAGGTTCCATCTGAGATCCATTGTCCTTCTTGAATTTGTCCTTGCCCAGCCTTGTGTCACCCATCTTGTCCTTTGATAGCTTGTTGCCCTTGAGAGTGCTGCTGGACTTTCTCTTTGCAAAATCGATCGCCGGTACATCCAAATCTCCCTCATATATGGGCACCCGTTGGCAGGGCTCACATGTCGACTGAGACTTGTCCACCTCCACTGCAGACACCTCATCCTCCTCCAACAATTCGAGATTTTGCTTCTTCTGTGAGTTCTTCGACTCATATTTGGACTTTGCATTGCCGGTGTTGGCTGCTGGTGCCTCACTGATATTTGTATCAACCCCGTGTACAGGTGAGCACTTTCTAAATGTATGTTTCACCTTGACATCATCAATCTTGACCAGGGGCGACCTATGCTTATCAGAGTTATTTTCTTCATCAGAGGAGGAGAGAACAGGCGCAACGCATGGAGCATTCGAAATGAGTTTCTTGTGTGAATTAGCTACAATATATGGGCAGACGAAACAGACACACCTTTGAGACAGATATCATGCTAAGTGGAGTCAATGTTGAAGACTTGAAGTGTGGGTCTAGCTGTGGTGCTTCACTATGTTCAAGTTCTTGTTCGTCTTCAAAGCCACCAAACTGGATGCCATTCTGAGGTGTTGGTTTGGTCAACACTGTGAATCCAAAAAATGTAAGTGATTCAATACAATTTAAGTAAAAAGACTCGCTGGTGATACATTGAGAACTGGCAGGTGCACTATGTATTTGGAGGGCACAAAGAGTTTGGAACATGTAGAGCCACTAGATTACGCCAGCCATCGCAGAGGCCACTTTGAGCGGGCTGTGAAGCTGTAGTATTGACATCAGGTTTGAATTTTTTGTTTGAAGGTCTGCATTTTGAGGGAAAAGGTGTTCGTATAATATCCATCAATATTGATATTAATGATGGCGATAGTATGGTCCAGGTAGTGTTGATATCAATAATAAGGTGAGTCAGCTGGGCACTTATTGGCACGATTAACTTACCCTTCATTATCACTGTAGGTGTGTTGCTTGCTTAGACTGCATTTTTGCCCTAATTCAAACTTCGCGGTATTGATATCTCTGCGCAACTTCTCTGCCTTACTGACTTTTGCTGGCGGTGAGTGTTCATTATCGTTGGTATGATTTTGATCAGTGCAGTCTGAGTCCATTCCAGTATCAGGGCTTGCCTCAGCCTGGTGACCTAGAATATCAAGTCTATCAGAGCTTGCCATTGTGCAAGTTGTCACATACTTGTCTTTGTTTGACTTTGTGAGCTAACCACACGACGAGCACCCGACTTTTCAGAAACCTTCTTGAAGTTGGGTGCAGGTGGCCGTCGTGCTTGTTTTTCTTGTTGTGCATCCTCCATCTCCATCTCCATCTCAAGCTGAGCAGCTGCGCCTATAGCACAATACTTTTTCGCTTCTTCGGCCTTTCGAGATGGCTTCTTTGTTGCGGTGCGCTTCCTTGTAGGGCTGCTACCATCAAGCTCGACTCGTCGATTTGCAGGTATGTCTGGTATACCAGGTTGCTTGTCTTTGTTTGACTCGTGAGTCTTGACAATCAGATCACACCAACATACAAAAATTCTAATGCACGGTTACTCAGATACACAGCTCAAGCAGGGTTGGGGAATTATAAGTGGCATTCTAGTAAGTGCAGCAAACTCAATCACAGTGATGAATATGAAATTGTGTGGCCATTCACAGCATATTTTCCACGCGCTAACATACATGAACTGCTCACTCCCGACATTCTCCACCAAATAATTAAAGGAATATTCAAAGATCATATTGTGGCTTGGGTGGGTGAGTATTTCCTTATCACCTATGGAGAAAAAAAGGCAGAGCAAATATGGGCAGATATTGATCGCCGGTAAAGATTTTCATCGAGATTTCGTCGAAATCACTTTACTGACAACCTCCTTCGTTCTAGCATAGCTGCAGTGCCTTCATTTCTGGGCCTGTGACATTTTCCTCAGGGATGAAGATTCAAACAATGGACAGGCGATGACTCAAAGGCTTTAATGAAGGTATGAAATTCACATATACTGACATCCAAATTACTGGTACTACTTCACTACTTTCAGATCTTTTTACCAGCCATCGTGGGACATGTTCCTGAGAGAATGCTTCAAGCGATCTGCTACTTCCTTGACTTCTGCTATGTAGTCCGTCGCTCGAGTCTTGCCGAAGCCGATCTAGATTCTTTGCAAACAACTCTTGAGGGCTCTCACAATGAATGTACTGTCTTCATGGATGTTGGTGTCTGTCCCAATGGAATATCTCTACCCCAACAACATTCTTTATGCCATTACAGTTATCTGACACAGCAGTTTGGCACTCCTAATGGATTATGCTCTTCTCTCACAGAGTCAAAGTACTGTAAGGTAGTAAAGGAACCTTGGCGACGCTTGAGTGGCTGGCTACCTCTCGGTCAAATGTTGGTAACAAACCAATGGCTTGATAAACTTGCTTCATTCTGAGCAGGGAAGTTTGCCATAGGTCTGCTTGACCACCCTTTACTCCCACCTGGTGTTGAGCCAATTAATCTGGATACAAATCATTCTGGTAAGTTGGTTCTTTTTCTCTCGACCTCACGATTGATCTGAATTGAGTGCTGGACATATACCTGGACTTCTTCCTTTATTGTGATGATCAAGACATGGAGGATGCTGTTGCAGATGAGGGTGGTGACAAGGCTGAGGTGATTGTGCAGCTAGCGAAGAGATGAAGTGAATCTTTTTCAGATTTTTCAAAGATATTCTAACTACTTCTTTCAGTGTCCAGTTACCTCCGACGTGCCCGAGAAATTGGTGAAATGATTGGCACACCTTCCTTTCGTAACCTTATACGCCAATTTCTACATGATCAGCGCAATCCTGGTCACACTATTCCGGGATGTGACATGGATATTTCACAATGCCCGGATTTCAATGGGAAGGTGGATATTTTTCACTCTGCTGTAGCGTTGTTTTACGCTGCTAGCGACATCTGTGGGGTCAATGGCATGATCTGTTACACTATCTGTGTTGCACGTAGTTGGTGTGGTGGCCCAGCTCGCCATGATTGCATTTTCATTGAACACGATCCGACTCTACCAGGATTCTGAGGGTTACATGTTGCACAGGTTATCCTGTTATTCTCCTTCACTTTTTGAGGTGTGGAATATTCTTGTGCACTTGTTCGCTGGTTTTCAACCATTGGCGATCAACCATGCCCTAACACAGGTATGTGGATGGTTGAACCAGAACTTGACGATTGTAGAGAATGCCTTCTTTCTGTTGTTCATTTAGATACCATTTGTGACCAGTGCACTTGATCCCAATATATGGGTCCCAGTTTCTTGATTGTGATTTGACACATACAGATTCTTTGATTGCATTTCAAGCTTTCTATGTTAACAGATTTTTGGATTATCATGCTTTTAAGATCTCATTCTCAAAAATTGTAGTATGAACATTGTACTAGTATACTGGTGAATGTATGTACGTGTTTCAACTTGCAGGTCTCACATAGTGGTATCCGACTGTTACGAAATTAGCCGTGGCCTGTAAGTCAACTGCAGCCATTAATTCAGTACTGAGTCTATGTTAAGGTCATACTCTCATAGGATCGGATCTGAAGGACTTTGGCCTCAGCTTGTATGCTGTGCCCCTTTCCCAAGTACTGTCCCTTATTTCAAAGTACTAACGATAACACGTCCGAAGGTCCGGACAGGTCTTGTAGTATATCCAGATGTCTTCCAGATATCAGAAACGCATATAAGGCTATCCGGACGTATCCGAACTAGAAACTAACAGAGTAAAGACTACCCGAAGGTAGAGCCGAGGATATAGACTATCGGAATCTATCCGAAGTCTCGGAGGATGACAAGAGCTTATTAAACTCAAGTCCGGAGGACAAAAAGAGGACAAACTAAGATGATATTTGAACTGAGGTACTACAGGACATATACACGAGTTTATATACTATGAGGATAACGGAAGGATCAGTAAGCAAAGGTCCGAGGCTATGTACGAAGCATGTGCAAAGGTTATCAAATGTGAGTCAGAAATGAAACATAGGTTAACGGATCAGTAAGCATACCGGTAATAAGTATAACCTAAACACTGGGAAGAGGAAATACCGAATAGGCTGTGTTTAACATTATATGAACAGGAAATGAATTAGAAAGCTTATCGTAAATCGGATCGGAAGCGGATCTATCCATCGGACCGGATCAGATATAAGGGTCTGAAGTCTGGAAGAGAAGCATGAATATATGGGATATGACAGTATCCCCCCCTTAGGGCCGATCCCTAGAGGCACAAGAGCCATTGGTCAGTCTAGCACTTCACGCCTTCAACACTCCAGTATGTTCATCAGGAATCATTGCTTCAGTATTTCTGTACTCAATAGTCTCCGTGACTCCTCTCACCAACACTGGCAGTACGTCCATTATTTGGTTCAACATTAAATCAAGTCATCTAGCTACATTCAGGCTGCCAGTGCATACTTACCAGTAGCAGTATCATATAACTTTGCAGATCATTCATCAGTACTAATAACATTCACATTAACTCTGCGACGACAAAGGTGAGTACTACTGCTGCTACTACTACTAGCTCTGTTGCTGACTCGGACTCTTTTGATTCTAGTACTAGTAGGTTTGAATTTTGAATGGAAGCAGTGTTTCCACTCCGTGCCTACTAGTAATATTCATAGTAGGTGTCTCTGGTTTTTGCATTTCAGTACTACTAACTTGATATAATTGGTGATCATAGGACATGGTCACCGTGACTAGCATTCCCAACACTATTGCTGCGTGTCTTTTTAGAAGCCATCACGTCACTGCCTCTGGGGCTCTATGATGGGTCCAACTACACTGGCAGGCCTGCGAGTCCACTGACCTTCCAAACATATGTTTCTTCCGCCTACCACCCCTAGCTACGGCCTCAGCAGCAAACACCGGCTATTTTAAGCTAGGGATCCAGCTGATACCGCCACCTTTGTTTATAAGGAGAGAATCAAGTGGTTGCAACAGGCAAGCAAAACCATGCCTTCTAAATCTCTCACTTTCTTACAGCAAAGCACAACAAATGGGCAGGGGTGTCTTTATGAGCGCAGTCCTGCATGGCGCTCTCAGCCCACCATACTAGTATCTGTAGAACTCCAACATGCTCCTGGTAAAGAGCACTCTCCAGATGCTGGCACATTCAAGCAAGGCTCCAGACCCTCAGAAAGTTTGTTAAGAAGCAGCAAGTCTTGCACTTCAGGGGAGTCAGTTTCAAGCCTAGAGCCAAAACTTCGCTTCCTGTTAAAGTCGAAGTCGAAGTTGCTGAAGCCACAAGCTTTGGGCCCAAAAGATGGTAAGTAAGGTCTGCTTGAATGATCATGGGTGTGATTTCCTAAGCTATACAGATCTCTGCCAGTGTATTATCACCACCATTCGGAAGGGTGGCAAGGGTCCCGAACATGAGGTATGAGAATTCATCTCGTGGCTCTTATCTTTCTCAGGCTGATTGCCATACTAGGCATTTTCAGATGTGTCAGAGAATGATTATCATTTTATTCTGGATGCAATTCAATTTGATGACCATTTAGCTCGCAAGTAAGCCTTTCTCTCTCTATTTCCCACATCTGGGCTGATCCAACGCTCTCCTCAGACTATCATACGTCCCTCGTCTCCAACAACTCTTCGTCAACCTGCCGACCCCAGTCCACAAATCGATCCTAGCGCCCCTGCACACTGCAATGGGAGACATTATACAGTCCATACCTCTTCCATCTGTACTACATACTGCACTCCACACTCACATGAATATGATGGTCGAGAAGGACGAAGATAATGAAGATGATGAAGACACACGTAACCTCAGCATTCCTGATATACTCGTTCAACACGAGACACAAGATGCCGAGTGCAATCTGCTGTGGCCCTTCGAGATATCCTTCTCGCAATCTTCTGAGGCAGCCAAAGCAAAGATCCAACTCTTTGCGAACAAGAACCCTCACGTCGAGGGTGGCACCCACTTCCACATCACTGAGGCACAAACGCACAAGTTGCCACACGATGAGTGGGTGATTGAGCAGGAGTTGGATAAAAAGAAAGTTGGGCGCATCAAACAGGTCGATGGGAGTGCAGGTGGTGACGGAATCTCATCTTGCTCGCACATTTGGCTACAACCCCTCAAGGTAACCATTACCACGTGGCTCCACCCCCCAAATGGACGGTTGAAGACTACTAACCGTAGAGTGCAGTATTATGCCAGTGCAGTATGTAGCATATGTTGCCACTCATTTTGACTTATTCTGACTTATTTCATGTAACACTGACAGGTTCTCTTCCCACAACAAGACACTGCTGGACTTCAAAACGTCCAGCGTTTATTCAGGCGTACCCTTGAAATAATTTGTGACTCAACGGTATGGCATCTGGAGGTGGAGCATCCTTCACGCCACAATGACCCCCTCATGTAAGTATTATCTGTCAATAACTTTAGAAACTAATGTGTTTTTTTCAGCGCCTTAATCAAACCCCTCAAGCAATGGACTGTTCCAGACACTGTGGTTGTTTGGGACACATGTGTCGATGGCTTGGAGATAGCCACTAAGCAAACAGCATACAGGAGGTATCATAAGTGGCATGAAAGCTTTCTCAAGCGCACCATCGATGAGGTCGAGGGTGCTGAGCATGCGTGGGCTAACAAGCAAGGGAGGTGCCACTAGTACCAATACATTGTTTATGATTTGTGCAAGTTTTCAATTGTTGTTTGTTTTCACGTATACTACTACTACATAATTTGCTCTTAGTACTATGTTTTTTCTCTGTGTACTACTAGTACTACTGTGACAGACAGTGAGTTTCATTCATGGATTTGCCATGCAATTACAATATAGCTGGAAATTGTTCTATTTCAAGATATGTGACTGTGGTGTATTGGTTAGCTTGTCATTGAAGTTAATAGTGGTATTTGTTTTGCGTCCAACTTATGCCAGTGGCAACTTCATTTTCCAAGTTTTCCCACTGCTTGGTTAGGTTCCGCGCCCTTTCGCAGAAGCTACTAAGTATTCTCAGTTTGTAGTACAACATTACACACAGGAGCCTATAGATTTTGAAATATAACTTGTTGACATTCTGTATTTCTAACTGTCTGGTCATATGCGTGCTTGTTGGGACTGAATACTAATGAATGGATATTTAGCCTTTCTGTGTATTTGATAAATCCTGTTTGTATTGAGGTTCTGAGATGCAGACTACCTGTCTCTTCATCAATATGAGAGCCTGATCTTTCTTGCATCTGTTTTTGCCTGATATTCCTGAAAGAATTGCTAGTTTGGGGGACACATGGTCTGTGGTGCTGGAGGATTATGAAACATGACCTTGTGTGAGTCTGATTACTCTGGTTGAGCTGTAGTTGCTGCTTTTCTGATGAATAGATGTACTGTGTTGTCTAAAATGATGTATTTTGGATTCAATGATCATATGATCACTCTGCAGGTGTTAATATTCTAACAGGTTGAGCATCTGTCTTGCCTGTACAATCTGTTTGGTCTGACCTCAGATGTACAGTATATCATATACGTAGTCCATCAGCTTATCATTTCCCTCAGATCTCTCACCTCATTATGGAAATGGCAGATTTCCTGATGTTGCATAGTATGCGGACTTACAGATGATAAAAATGTTACCCAACATCAAATATGGCACTGAGCTTCTGAAATTGATGTTGCGCCAGAGTCTTGTGAGACTAGAAATATTTCTGAGTCAGATGTGACTTAGGTGTGAATAAGTAAAAAATTACCGCTCATTGTGAACACAAATGGTATGCACCACACACAAGCCCCCAGATTCAAGAGTGGGAACCACTCACCAGTTGTATGCACCACATGTAAGAGAGAGACACTAGGAAGAGAAGATACACTAGAGAGAGATAACATTAGCATGCGGTAAATTGAATAAAAGACTTACCAAAGAGACATCAAAAGATACTAGAGAGAATGAGAAATTAGCAGGCAGTGAACAGAAAGAAACACGGACTTGAGAAAAATCCTGGCACTGAATCTAACTGTGGGAGAGACATGAAACAAGACACTGGAGAGAGAGAAATGTTAGTGCACAGTGAACAGAGTGAAGGACGCACCAGAGCAAACAGTAGAACTAAAGAGAGAAATTAGCGCGTAGTGAATATAATGAAAGACTTACTATTAAGCAGCGCACAGTGAACCTAATGAAGGACACACTACAGTGGCTCAAAAAGTGTCCCAATGTTTGTAGCTTTTCATGTAATTGCTATACCATGTGTCAAGACGTGGGAATATGACTAAGCTATATGGAGGTGTTGGAAAGGTCTGCTTCTCAGCATTATTTCGGTTTCCTATACCATGGGAAAATAATGACATTATGTGAAGATATGATCATTTTAATTTGATGACTCATTGGGACACTTTTTTGACTTTGAGTTTCACTAATGTAATCCTTAAAATTCTAGTACTTTGTGTAACCTCCTTCTGCCCCAATCACTTCTGCCACTCTTCTAGACATATTCTCTATCAATTTTGGGTATTCCTCTTTGGTATTTCCATCATACTCTGCTGTAACACTGTCTCATAGTTGGAATAGCCCCTATGGTGAATCTTGATATGCTACAAGCAATTTCTTGAGTGATTCTCAGGGGTATTCAATAGGGTTGATGTCTTGGGTCCATGCTGAACATGATAGAATAGTAATATCATGGTCTGCAAGCTATTGGTGGCTGATTTAGAGGTATACTTAGGATCATTGTCTTATCACAAAAAAGTATCTTCTTCATTAACTCATAACTCCTGCATGCTTCTTAGCAGACACTCCTTTCAAATGAGTATTTACTATTCTGTATTCATCCTCCCCTTTGCTTCATAGAAAATTCCCACACCATTTTATCTCATATAGTCCTATACCATCAAGTTTTCGTCTTGAAACTTAATTGTTTATTCAAAATTTCTTTATCTTAATGGTTGTCCTATCTATTTTAATACAAATTCCTTGCCATATGATCTCATCCTATTGATTGTAAGCTTATCTAACTAGATAAACCTCTTTCAGCTATTAGCAGTCCAATATTTGTACTTGAAAGTAGCATCTTGTCTTTTCTTTTTATAGGTTGGAGACAGAAGAATCTGTTTTTCTTGATTATAGCTTTAAGATGGGCTGTCTTGAGAGTCTGTCTGACTATTTGAGTAGAGATAATCATAGAAATAATGGAAATAATCAATTTGGTCACTTTATTAGCATCAGTGGCCTTTCCAATTAGAATATAGTGATTAAGAGATCTTAAGTCCTATAGAGCAACCTTCTAGATTGGCTACCAAATAACTTAAAGTCCATGATATTACTATTCTATCATGTTCAGCATGGACCCAAGACATCAACCCTATTGAATACCCCTGAGAATCACTCAAGAAATTGCTTGTAGCATATCAAGATTCACCATAGGGGCTATTCCAACTATGAGACAGTGTTACAGCAGAGTATGATGGAAATACCAAAGAGGAATACCCAAAATTGATAGAGAATATGTCTAGAAGAGTGGCAGAAGTGATTGGGGCAGAAGGAGGTTACACAAAGTACTAGAATTTTAAGGATTACATTAGTGAAACTCAAAGTCAAAAAAGTGTCCCAATGAGTCATCAAATTAAAATGATCATATCTTCACATAATGTCATTATTTTCCCATGGTATAGGAAACCGAAATAATGCTGAGAAGCAGACCTTTCCAACACCTCCATATAGCTTAGTCATATTCCCACGTCTTGACACATGGTATAGCAATTACATGAAAAGCTACAAACATTGGGACACTTTTTTGAGCCACTGTATATGGAGAACACTATAATTAAAGAGCAAAATTAGCTAGTGGTGAACTATGCAAAAGACTTACCATTGAGTGGGAGACACTAAGTGGCTGTAGAGATAAACATTAGCAAACAGTACACAATGAAGAAAAAACTTACTGCACATGAAAGTTGGCATTATGGTACATTCTTTGGATCCTTGCAGGGCTACAGCCTGCAAGGATCCAAAGGATGTACCATAGAATTAGCATGTATCATATAATAATGAGAAAGGAAAAAGTGTGTAGTGTGAAGATGGGTGGAAAGAGCAAAGTCAACATTGTGTTTGGACTTTGAACTTTGAACCATGTGTCTATTTGATCTTGTTTGTTGTTTGGATGTATCTGTGTTGCAAATTTGTGAACTTGCAAGTCCAGCATGTCTACCATTTGTAGTCTCAATACTAATACTATATCATTATTCTTAGCTTGTTACTATTGTTTCTGCCTTTCGCATTTACCCAGCAGCAGCTGTCATATCAGCATCTGCAATCCCAGCACCCACGACTATGCCATGTCCTGGACCAAACAAACCTGCAAGAAGTCGACTGGTGGTGATGTGTCTTGTGTCACCCTCAACCTACCTGGTGCTGTTTCGACTGTTTCAAGGGTAGAAGTAGGAACTGTGAGGATTGAGGAGGAGGAGCAAATAGATTATAACAATGTGCATAATCAAAGGTCTTTTTTTTAATATTTCAACTGACTACAACTATCTACATCTACCTATAGTTCTGTCTTATTTGTTGTGATGGATCAGTGGATAAGCACTACTTGTATATGTATGACTCCTGTCCACACACTATGTGCTCCCACTGCTTGCAGATCACACCACGTCACCAGGACATTATTTCTGAAGTCGACATCAAATTTGTTTGCATTTCATGCCATGTCCTAGTGCAATATCATGGCCACCGCCCAAGAATCCTTACTTCATGAGTTTCTAACCTTTGTTTTTGTTTTATTCTTATTGTATTGATTCAATCATGTATATATCGACTACAGGGATTTTACTGCAACAGGAAGCCCATTTTTGACACATTCCTTCAGATCCGTGGAGTACTTGAGTTGTCTCACTAAGCACAGGTTTTGGCCGAAACTGTGCTGTTCATCCATCTCAACCTCATCAACAACAATATAATAGACAGCCCTTTCAAACTCATGCACAATTTCTTGTGCTCTACTTCCCTAATGGTGGAATTATTTTTCATGAGGTCACCTTTGATGTTGACTCTGATTCAAAGATTGTCTGTAGCATTGCCAGCTGAGGTTTCACTTGACCATTGTTTTGAATTTTTAGATGCTCTCAGTACTGATGGCTCTTATCTAGAGCTGGTAGATGCAGTCAAGGATCTGACTAACATGACGGAACAAATTGTAGACATATTATTATTAATCTTGGGAATGTATTGATCAACACTCATTCACTAGCCGATACCACAAGAGGAGCTTGACTTACCTCCATGGATTGTAAAGAGTCTTACCTTTCTAAGTATCTGCATGAGTCACAGGACATGGTGATGGCCAGCTTGGAGCTATTGGCAAACACCTCAATCAGGCCTTTGCATATTCTCAGCTCTATAATAAGATGGGCAGAGGCTGGGTGACAAATGGACAGGGATAACCTGATGGAGTAATTAGTAGCCTTCTTCTCCTGACGATCATTGCAGAAATGCTTGCATTTGCTAGCCTTGCTGTTATTGGACCAATGAGACTCCCTATCTTTTGATAAACATCTATCAGGCATCAGGCTTCTGAGGCTCAATAAAAGATCATGCTGAGTAATAGGAGGTTGGGAGGTATTAAAGGCTAAACAATTAGTGAGCTCTAGAGCACAGCCCTCATTGTTATCATCCTCATAGTTAGAATTATATAGATATCCCCATCAGCATAGGCAGAAGCTCAAAACCTGTCTGAATGGTGATGATATCATATGGTGAAAAATAGTGTCCAGAGTATGTCTAGCATAGTTTTGGCCACACTACTGATTATGAAGATGGTCCTTACCTAGCTTGAAGGCATTAAAGGATATGGCCTGGTCAATGCTGAGTAGGAGGAAGGCCAGTAAGGAAAAATGTGCAGGCTGCTTACCTAGTCCAATAGCCCTAAATCAGTTATACACTGAATGAAATGAAAGGTTAGAGTAGTTGGATTTAACTTGAAGTGTGTCTGATAAAAAACACCCTCACTCTTTCATAATTTACCTATATGGACCTAGTGCAGGTACTGGGTAATGTAGCTTACTGGAATATCCTGGCATCAGGCATCCAGCTAAGCAGTGGTGTGGTTTTCTTGTAGTAGTCAGTTTTTCTCTCTAAACAGCATCATGTTTGTTGTACCCTTCGCACATTCTCACTCACAGCTAGACTACATATTCATTTAGACCTCTCCCTGTATGTATTTCATTTCATGAATTATGATACACACCTTATAGTCTTTCACCTTTTGGTCATTTTGTTCCATGTCAAATAACATCTTATATTTTATATAGAGATGTTCAGAGACTAGTGAGCAGCTTTTCCATCCTCCTGACCCTGAAGCAGCTCCACTTGCTCGCATCTTACCCCAGCTAAGGCTCAGTCCAGCCCAATGATAAGTCATATTGTGACTTTTAAGCTACATGATGTTAGACTTTTGTTAGTGCATCATGAAAATGCTACAACTTCTGCAGCAATTTCCATGACTTTGCTACCAAATGGTGCTGCCTGAGCACTAAGTGCTCATCAACTACACCTACTACTGCTAGTCACTGGAATATTCCAGTGCTTATCCTTTAAACAAGCCATATATTTTAGTATGCTCCAATGTCTTATATGTATATCTACACCCCCAGAGTCACAGTTAGGTGATATTATCAGATTTACAGAAGTACCAGTAATCCCAGTCTGCAAATCAGGTCTCCTACACAGTGTTCCACCAGCTATATTACTTGTTGCTAAAAAATCTATCATATTGCAATGTGGTCTAATTCCTCAATATATGACATTTTTATTTCTCCTCAGCAAGTGACTATAATGGTAAACATGATCTCAGGAGATCAGTGCCACCTTTCTTTACCTCTGAGATCCTGATGTCTGTTGATTAACATTGTCTCCATTAGTGAAACCTGGCCCACACTAAGCTGATTGCTAACTAGGACCTTCTTGTACATCCAGCACACCCCCTCATCATCTAGCAGACCCTTTCACGCCTTCTCATAGTTCTAATTCTTCTTATACATCTAGTACACCATCTCGCACCCTTCCATAGTATATCCAATTCACCCTCTCTGTACTTGCTCTCTCTTGCACTCTCTTATAATATATATGATATTTTCTAATGTTTCTCTTATTGAGTTGTATGTTTATTTTTGACATGCCAAATGTATTGCTTCTATGTGATATAAGATTATGACTATAAACAAACAGGGAATAATTAAATTGTGAGGTGTACCATATTGGGTGAATTGAAGTTCTCTTTTCTCCATCATGCAATATTATTAGCTTTTTGAGGACCCTTTTTACATTTTCATTGCTCTACTGTTATGACTTGGATAGATTGAGCTTTCTGTAGTTGAATGACTAATCTCTCTCTGGAAGAATGTCCAAGGGAAAACCAAGCACATTAAAGTAAGGAAACACAATGATATGTGTCTAGTCTATATAGGTGTATCCTATGAGGTTCAGTAGTAGCCTGTATCTATGGATCTACCTGAGTCAGAGATAAGATGTCATGAGGCAGGCTTCTATGTCAAGATAAGTACATGAGGCTGTTTCTGCCTATGAGTCAATGATGCATGAGGTGGCATGTTATAGCACACTACAGTGTCTCAAAAAAGTGTCCCAATGTTTGTAGCTTTTCATGTAATTACTATATCATGTGTCAAGCCATAGGAATATGACTAAACTATAGGAAGGTATCGGAAAGGTCTGCTTCTCAGCTTCATTTCAGTTCCCTATACCATGGGAAAATAATGACATTATGTAAATATAATTCAACAGGGTTGATGTCTTGGGTCTATGCTGAACATGATAGAATAGTACTATCATGATCTGCAAGCTATTGGTGGCTGATTTAGAGGTATACTTAGGGTCATTGTCATATCAAAAACCAGTATTTTCTTTCTTAGCTCATAACTCCTGCATGCTTCTTAGCAGACACTCCTGTCAAATGAGTATTTACACTTCAGGTAACCTTTTTCAGATAGCATAATGCTTAAACATTGTGGGTCAAGGGATGAAGCAAAGTACCATCTAGCCCATGGGTTTCCCAGGTCCATAGGTCCATGTCTTGCAGTCTCTTGGCCCATGGACCATATGGGACAATCACTCCATTGTGATAGTCCCTTGTTCCAATCCCAGTTATATCATGCTCATGGGGGATGTCCTGTTATCGGTGACACATCACTGGGTGTCAGGGGTCCTTTATCTAAAATATACTACCACTCCTACCCCACCGCCAATATACCACTCCTCTGCTACCATCACTATTGCCATGCTATCACTACTGCCACTGACCACTGAAGATGTCAAGATTAGGGATCCGCACGAATAAATCATACCCATAGATATACCCATACCCCAATAGTGGGTACGGGCTTTATGATGGGTATGCTGTCATGCTATCACTACTGCCACTGACTACTGATGATATACTATTGCTCTGGAGACAGCTCTGGAAGGAAGGGGGTTCTTTGGATCCCAGGTCACAAGCAATCCAAAAATCAGTGCAATCACTGACACACAGCATTTTTTCGTTATTGAACACTGGCTCTGCAAATATGCAAATATAAAGTTTGTGGTGACACCATGTGCACTAATTGCACTGTGACTGTTTGAACTCACTCAACTATATTTTTATGCAACATAACTAGGAAGTACTATACTTCGAGTCAAAGTGGGACATCCCATCCTCAGTATATTCAGTTGAGTGGGATGTCCCATAATCTTTATTATATTTAGTTGAATAGAATGTCCCATCCTTGGCATATACTCTGAGTTAGAGTGGGATGTCCCATGATCTTTATTATATTTAGTTGAATGGGACATCCCATCCTTGGCATATACTCTAAGTTAGAGTGGGATGGCCCATCCTTGGTATACTCAGCTGAATGGGACATCCCATGATATTTGGTATATTTAGTTAAATGGGATGTCCCATCCTTGGTATCTTCAGTTGAATGGGACATCCCACCCTTAGATTATAATATTATTTGAAATCAAGTGTTTGTGCAAAATAGGTTTCTTTATTTAATCAAAGAAAATACAAGGCTGCTAAATTATCGAAGTATATGTATGTGTAACATAAAACAATATATGACTATGTTTCTCACAGTCGTTTGCGAGGGGAAGGACGGACTGGGGAAGAAAATGGATCTAAGTCCAAAAGCTCATATTCAAAATCAGTTCCACCCAGCTCATCTCCAATGCTGTTGCCACGGTATTCATCTAGCAGTGCAATGTCCTCAATAGTATCCAGCAGCTCTCCATCATCTCCATCACTCAAGTTCTCATACTCATCCTCATCCACTACTACTGCAGAAAATCCATTTGCAACCAAATTGTGACGACACGAAGCCGCTGCTACAAGCTTCTCAGCCGAAGGCCCCCAATCTTGTGACATAGGCCATAGGCAAGGGATTCCACGAAGTTTCTCTTGCCACGTTACACACAGCTCAGCCAGCATGGTGGCATGTTGATCAAGGACAAACAACATGTCCTCATCTACCTGTTAAATATCAATGAAAGAATATCCAACTAAATATCATGTTACACACCTTCGTCGAATTGTTCCTTGACACACCCCACCCGCATCCACTCTTCCTGCATCCACTCCTGCAGCGCACATCTCTCCCACATGATATGTACTGTCTCCTCTCCGCAACGATCTAATTCAAGCATACACTTGATACCCTGGTGAATTCTTTCATCTGCAAGCCACCTCGGAATATGGCCATTGGCGTCATCCAGACCTATGTCTTGCCAAACTTCATCATCAAAGTTGAGCTGGAAGAGACCCTCACATGCGATAGGGAGAGGGGGAAGTGCGTTTGGAGGAGCCTTGCCTTGACGGATAAGCGCTTGCAGCTGGGTGCAGAGGTTGTTGTAGGTTTTCGATAGCTTGACGATCCCTGGCTCACGACACTTAACAGATACCTCAGTGTGGCTCTGAAGCTTCATTTCTGGGAGTAAAATGTCAGCTCACGTCATGGCACACTAAGGCTGCTTACCATTTATTGTTCGTCTATATGAGCGTTCAAGTTTCTTGACTTTGAATTTTCGGCTCTGTAGTCAGTCACGAAGGCGGGTCTTTACAGCGCGAGCATTCATGCAAATGCGAAGGTAGGCATTGTTCCATAGGCCCTTCAAGTTGGCTTGGTCACTGACACCGAGACCACACTTGCACTTCTGGATATTATCAGCAACGTGCTTGGATTTACCTCGATATTCTGATAATTGCAGGTCAATGTCGATAATGTTTGCTGTGCCAAATAAGATGGCATTTTCGAGTTCGTGGACCATTGAATTATGTTGTTCCAGAATCTTCTCAAGGGTGAGGATAGCTGTAATAGCCTCAGCACCCTTATTCTTCGACTGCTCTCAAATAATAATCAGCTGATGAGGATAAATTGAGACATCGGACATGTACTGGGGGCTGGCTTGGTTTGCATGGCGACCTGCACCTTCCACTCCTCCCATAACTCCCCCACAGGAATGTCACACACCTTTAGCCCTTCCTTTGCTACTGCCTTCTTCTCCTGATAATGTCGCCAGTGCCTCCAGAGCCACTGACCAAACATGACCATGGACTTGTTGTCGAGATGTCTTACTTGTTCATTGATAACAAATATACACTGATTATACTGTAGAGGGAGATAAGTAGTGGTCCAAAAAATAGATAAACTACAACATATGCCAGAGACTCGAAGGGACGGGATTAAAGGTTTGATAGCACTCCAGAAATGCTCGCACCCTTCACCATCTGAGAGCCCAAATACAACACATTTTCGGGGGTGATATACAATTTGGCAAACCCATTGGTGACCAAATGCATGGAAAATCAAGATGCCGAAGACAATGCGGGGGAGAACATCGGTAAGAAAGCCCCACTTGCGACAACTTCGCTCAAGCTGGCATCCGATGTCATACAATAGTCCCACCTTAAAGTCAGAAGGAAGGTGTTTGAACCATCGTCGAATGAGCGCCAGTGCGTAATGCTGCTTTTCTCCAGCTGAAGTCATATTGACTAACCAAAGGACATGGTTATGGCAGCAAAGGAGGGCCATAACACCCATGTCAGAGAAAAATTGTGTGCTCACCTGTCAAGAAAAGGTCACATTATAAACTGAAACATTAGCAAAGGGAGACCATACCTTTTCTCTCTTCTCGTCAGCAGTGATGAAAGAGTCATTGCAACCTTCCAATACTGATGTAGGAACATGCATTCCATCCTCATACCCATCCTCAGCCTCTACAGTCGACCCTTGCTTTTTTCTACTCGATGTTGATGATTTGCTGCATTCTTTTCAAAGTGCCTTGACCTCTGCTTCCATCTCTTAAACCTCGCACTCAGAAATGAAGAAAGATTCTGTCGGATTCTTGGGATTGTCATTGTGTGCATGGGTGCGCTTCTGATTGAAACATGCATCAATACAGCCTATAGCATCAACACTGGACATAATGAACTGCATGTAAGAAAACCAAGACACAGACTAACCTACGGTCTGTACTGCGGGCCAATCTCCAGTCTTGAGCTCCATAACAAAGTGGACACCATCCATGAAAGTATTCCGACGGACGCCAAGCAACCTCGTTGTCTTCGGCATCTTTCTTGACATGTTCTTCATCTTCCTCAGCGTGTTCTGCATCCTGCTCGTGAGGGGGGTTTCGGCAGTCTGAGCGTACATGTCCCAGTCCTTCTTGTATTTGTCTGCGACTGAATAACAACAGAATGCAGTACCAATGATAGGTGTTGTTAAATCGGCGGCGAATTCCTTCCTAAGGTCTGTCAAGTAAGTGAAGGAGAAAATCAAGGAAAATTAGTTACTTGCCTTGGCACATACTCTATAACCCATACCATCTAGTAACACTTCGAAAGCATCACACCACCCAGTGACGTTTGGTGCTAAGGGAACAAAAAGTTCCTTGACAAGTTGCAGAACATGGATGTCCACGGCTAGTGTAGGTGCAATGGGAGCACAAGGGAAAAATCCTCGAGATACTAATTGACAGGAAGCAGTGTTGTAGCTGCAGGTCAGATCACAGATTTCAACAAATATGACCAACATACCTTCGAAAGTGACCAGTGTCACTGTGAGATGGCGGGAGGTACACATGCTATCACAGAAGGTCTGGACAATCTCCGGCCGAGTCTTGAGTGATCAAGATAGTCAAAGATAGCGAAAGTAAGGATTCAGCAGGGATGGTATGACCTCTTGGGACCAGCGATGTCATTGGTTCTTGCGCTTCCTTCCGTTTGTGATATGCTGTGTAGCTTCCGCAAAGGGGTCCGATGTTACATGCAAACCTTGACTGAGTGGTAAGTATTCCGCATCAGAGTAATGACCTGGCACGTCTGAATCATAAGATGAGCCAAAATTTTGATGGGGACATCGACTTAATTTTGAGTGAGAAGCTTGCATAAAGACCTGCTTCCCAGGAAGCGTCAGGAGTGACTGTGGGTGAAGATAAAGATCACCAGTGCCGTGTGGCCTCCAGGGGTGACCCAACCTATGAGATCAACCATGTGTCTGCCTATTGGCTCCATCGTGACAGGAGCCTGTTAGTCTGGTGTAGGATTGAGAGTCTTTGTCGCATTTTTCCGTCTGAAATGTTTCAGATGTCGCATGAGTGATGCCATTGTAAGATAAATGCTATTGTGCACACTAGCATTCCAAAGTTTCTCAAGGGCTCCAAACCCTTTATTGAACAGCTGTGGCACCAAGCCCCAGCCCTTTGGTGGAGGAGGGCACCCAACCCTCACTCACCTGCCAGTAGTATGGCCATCAGTGAATGTAGCCACAGATGGTGGTGGGACCTAGTAGATGAACTGAAGACCTCGCCGTGGTTAGGAATGGAGTTAAGAAAACCACACCAGATGCTGGGATGGACAGGTGAAGCTGTACTGCTGGTCACACAATTGATCCAGGCAGATCTGACGGACAACCACATCACCAGGTATCGCTTGCGACAATCTTCGGATGTAGTACCAACAATAAGGCAAGGATCCAGGAACCAAGTCTCCACAGACACTGACGGAGGGTGAACACGAGCTGGCGATTTATCAGCCTTATCCATTGCCAGCTTCCATGACATAATTCTAGTGGGTAACAGATCGCTCTCAGGATCTACCTACTTGTCTCGTCCCTGAGATGATGCAGCTACTTCAGACTGCTTGAGCGTGGTTTTCATTCTGCTATTCCCCTTGCATTTGCCAATGGCAAGGGATGGCGAAGGAACAGAGGATGATGAGGGCAGATTTGAAAATTGATCTAGAGCAGGGGCAAGTGTGTGCCAGGTGGAAAGACTTGTCGACAGGTCTATAGGTGGGGAAATTTGATCTAATTGGATATTAGTCACTCAAAATGTACTAGAATTGAATGGACTTACATGGTGAGAGGCGTGGTTGGGATGGCATGGTTTGCACAGGTCCCCCTTGGTTCGTCTTCCTGGGCTTCATGTCACTGGCAAATTTAGACTCTCATTGGAAGGATAGTAGGGCACGAGAGGTGGATGCATTGTTGATGGATGGTATAATGCTAGGTGCCATGCCTTCATAGGCTTTGTGTGGGGGATGCTGTCGTACATAAGTTTCACCATCAACACGCGCTAGTTGTCGCGTAAAAAGATGGTGGTGCTCGCCAGATGTACCACGATATAACACAGGAAATGGCACCAACTCCTCCCAAACTCTAGGATGATGTGTAACAATGTAGCCAGGTGGGGCCTGGAAGTCTTTGACAAGGTGGATGTTTGTTCTGAGAGGGAAAGTTTCTTCAAGATGAATGTACCAGAAACGGATGTGTAAATCATATAAGTCTTGAGCTGTTGCTGGATCTGCTGTGAAAACACCCATCCATTTCTCATCTTCGAATCTGAACTGTTCCTTGGAAGGCGGCGATGGGAGTGTGACTGTCTCATACTGCACAATTGCAAAAGTGTCCAGGAGTATATGTTGGAATTCAGCTACCTGTAGAATTAGATCCCTAGCTGGCAGAGGTAGAGACTGGAGGCGCTGGAAGCTATGATTTGCCCCCCAAATATGCACTGCCAATTCTTTCTGAGCCTCGGCGCGCACTGATTTTTGCGCATCTGCAATGCAAATTCCCGCTTGATCAAGAAATTTCTTGAATGCATTAATGAGCTTTTTGTCCAATAATCCAAGTTGAAATGAGCACCCCAGCTCCTGACAAACATCTTTCTCCGTCGGTGTGAACCACAGCCATTTCATGATGCTGTCTGTGAGGAACTGCTCATGCCAGAAGATGCACCCACTCCACCGATGTTTCTTAGAAAACAGTTAGGGCCAGAGAAAACAATCTATATGGCTGATGAAGGTACAACAATTCAGATGGTGAGTCTGAACAATGTTGGGTCTTGCAGAACCTAGCTGCTATTCGACCCTAAAGGGTTTCTGGACTAGGCTTAAGGCTCAGAGGAGAGGAAATATCATAGAAAACTACTGAGCACTCAGACTCATACTGGTAACTGGTGAAAAGATTGATTCATTATGTAAGCTACAAAAGTGCCAACATAAGGTAAGGTAAAAACAGTCTCTACAAGCCCAACCAGAAATGAATCCCTACACCGAATCGACCATCTGCAAGTGGCTGCAGGTCGACAGTATCAAAGATGTGTGGTTCGGGAATGAAAGACATGTTCGGAGACGTGATGACGTGCAGAGGCTTCACAGTGAGTACACGCGCATTGAAAGGCTTGTAAAAATCTACTTGTATTCAGTATTGTTTTGTTATAACAAATAATACACTTACCATCCTTATCGCATACATGGGGCAGGTATTTTTTGGATACTGAGGGGAAGATGGACAAAGTCATCTCAAATTAAAAATGCTGTATGCCTCAAAATGTAATCAAAAGGGTATTGAGAACAGACAGAAAGAACTAAATGGAGCAGGCCGTAATGATGCAACAGTAAGTGTTCCACGCCCTGTCTTCAACACTGGGGCCATACAGCCATCCGCCCACCCCTGGACATAATGGATGACCTAGAGTGCGACAGGTAGTATACTAGCAACCCACAGTTGCTCTTAAGGGCCCCAAGCCCTTTGTTGAGCCACTGGGGCACCAAGCCCCAGCGCTTTGGGAGAAAAGGGCACCAAACCCTCCGCTATTGTGATACACAATGCGAGTACTCACTGTAAAAATCGGCTTGAAATGATAACGCTGGAAATCACTAGAATTTGTAGTCAATTAAAAAGTATAGCACACTATGAAATGTACTTACAGAAGGCTGTAGCTAGTCACTCGGTAGTTGTTCTAATGTCAACAGTAACTCAGAGAAGGAGCAAAAGTTGAAGAGGCTCACAGTAGTTGAGCTACTGACTTAAGATTTCATTGAGTCATGTCACATGTGCTGTGATGCGTCAATCATTCCGGATTTTCCCACAGCAGCAAAATTGGAATGACTGATAATGTGTGACCTACTAAATTTGGTGTCATGGCATGGAAAGTGACGATTCAAGCCCAGTGAGAACTTGCCTGGGCATTGCTGAGACCTGAATGTTGCTTGAATGTCGTTAGATCTTTCAATTTTTCCTACCTTAGTGATTGTTCTTATATGCATAATAGGCATAAGATGTATTGCAAACAGTAAGTTCAAATTCAAAGTTCCATTAGATAGATGAGTTAAGACCTGATAGGTAAGATAGATAACGATTCGGAACATAATTTAAGTGGGTCCCAGATCATGAGGATAACATAAAGCTTTCGAAGAGCTTTTTGTGGTTCTTACTGGTTAACTTGTTCAGCTGCATCGCCCATCAATGCCCTATGTAAGGTTTCAATACCTCCAAGACTCCCAACTAAATCCACTACAACAGAATGGTGGGCCCCTGACTGAGTTATCCATAGTATCTCTCAAGTGAGTGATTCTTGCAGTCATCATTGGCTTACTTTTTTTTCATTAGTCAATTTTACTTTTTGGCGCTGGGGGTTTGGTGCCCTCCTCTTCCCAAAGCGCTGGGGCTTGGTGCCCCAGCGGCTCAACAAAGGGCTTGGGGCCCTTGAGAGCAACTTTGGGTTGCTAGTATGCTACCTGTCGCGCTCTAGGTCGTCCATTATGTCCAGGGGTGGGCAGACGGCTGTATGGCCCCAGCATTGAAGACAGGGCGCAGAACACTTGTGTACCATCAGCTTTCCTCTTTCTCGCAACTCTGGAACCGCACACATAGTATACGGCAAGCACTCATTATTGTGGCTGATATTCCTTTTCTTAACGCTTCCCTTACTTCATGTGACTCTGCACCAAACCTTACTATCATGACAATATATGTCCGTGTCTGACTCTCAAGGCTTTTTCATTACATCTCAGCCTCGCAAGCTCCAACAGCATCACCAGGCCACAGTAATCAATCAGTGGCCTATTACATCAACCTGTCTTGTAACTCCGGAACTTTACACCCGGTATCCAGTGAGCGCTTATTTTGTTGGCTTATATTCCTGTTTTCAATGCTTCCCTTGCTTCATGCGACTCTGCACCAAACCTTGCTATCATATCGTGGTGGTCTTTATTCTGTCTCTTAAACATTTTATTCATCACCTTTCCTTGGGTGGACACTAGATCAGTGTTACAAGGATATGATAGGTGTGTCTTTCCTCCAGTGTGATAGTTCTGATCCTGATCCATCCAACTTTAGGTCAACAACAAGAATATGTCATTACTACAATGTTTGATGCCTCGTAGTGGAGGTAGTCACATTGAATTGGAAAATCAACCATGATCTATTGGGACCATTAGAGGCTCCGTGCCAATAGGAATAATTAACACAGATGCTGCTTAACACAGACCCTGTTTCGTTTACATACGTGTAAACAGCATTTCTGATATAAACTCTCATTGTTTGCAGGTGAACTCGATCATGTCTTGCAATCAACAATCCCACCAAAGTTCTCTCACTGGGGCAATTGATGCCAAAGCTCCATGGCAACTACATTTATGAAATGTTTCATCCGTAGATGTGAATGCACCCCGTTCAAGGGTAAGGCCATCACGCTGTTCTGTGGTCTGGTCTGAATTTTTTTCTCCCAGACTTCCCGCAAGCAGAAAACGTTGGGTGTTTCTGCAGTCAACACTGATGATGCTTCCCAGGACACTCAATGGCATCCTCACTCTAAGGTGGGTTTTTTTTGGTCTTCACCATAATTATATTTATATTTGTCCCACCTGCACCTGCACTCCGTCCAAAGGTAAGGCCATCACATAGTTCCTGTAGTCTGGTCTGAATTTCTCCTGTCAGACTTCCTGCAAGCAGAAAACATCGGGTGTTTCTGTAGTCAACACTGATGAAACTCAACAGCCTCCTCCTGGCCCTAAGGTAGTTTTTGTTTGGTCTTCACCTTATTTATATTTATATTTGTTCTATGTCTTGACCTCCCAGTTGAAGACACCCCAGAGCCAAATAAAATCATCAGGTCGCAAATTGTCTGTTTCAGTCGACTGCAATGCCACCCCTGATACTACCTCGCAAATAACGCAACTGTCTCATCCTGCTCCTGAGGTATATCCTACTCCTTTCTTTCCTTCTCAATCTCAAATATTTTTCTCTTAGGCTGAGTCCACCGAGGATGTGTTACCAGATTTCGCCAACACTGATTCACTAAATAAACTCCCTGATACTACCTCGCAAACATCGCAACCATCTCATCCTGCCTCTGAAGTATGTTCTATTTTTGTTTCTGTCCGTCTCAATTCAAATGCTTCTATCTTAGGCCCAGTCCCCTGGTGATTTTTTCTCAAATTCTGCCCTTGACGTTGATTCGCAAAATACCCTCAAAACACCGAAGCAGAATTGGCATGAAGATTCGGCCTCAGATTTGGGCTCTGCGGCTGTATGTGTCTAGATTTGGCATTGCGATGACAATTTTAAATTTTATGTTCGGATCTCAGAGGTATACGTGCGGCTCAAAAGTAAAGACTACAGTTACCAGCTGTCAATGTAAGTCATTTCTACCTACCATCTTAAGTAAGTAGAGTGAGGGTTTGGTGCCCTCCTCTCACAATGGGCTGGGGTTTGGTGCCCCAGCTGCTCAACAAAGGGTGTGATGCCCTTGAGAGCAACATTGTGATGCTAGTATGTGACGTGTTGGACATGGCACTGAACACTTGCTGATTATGTTGAATTTGGCGTTAACATTTCCTTCCCCCTTCATTCAGGCTGCTTCAACACCGCAGCCACACCCATGACTGCACATTAAGAACTCCTCTGCCTCAAACAACATTGCATACTGGGATGACCCTGGATTTTACCGCCGACGCATGTCGGGTTTTGGTCAAAACCCTGACAGTGATGTTCCATCACAGAATACTGTCGGGGCTGAGTCGAATGAAGAGGACGATGCCCTTCAAGTGGATAATATTGTTGGTATGTGTGCTTCCCGAATATTTAATTAATTACTCATTCATTGTCATCATTCTAGATGAATCTTCTTCGTCAGGCAGCAATTTTAGTGCTGACGAACGAAAGCACCAAAATGCAAAGAAACAGAAATATGCAGCTTTAACCAAGTACCTGATCATGCACTCACCATTACCGGACTCATCCCCCCGTCATCGCCAGATCATGGCACGAATATTCACTCCTCATCCCCTTTTCCTTGTCTCTCATGCATTCCACCTCCTGATTCTCCACCACGGCTTACTGAGGTCCAGAAAGGCAAAGGCTGCCAGCATTCCCCCGAGGAGCATCGCCCTGCATGCAACAGCGCGCCAGATGTTGAGGCTACTGAGGAGGAACTCACAACTTTTAAGAAGAAGTGCGGACCTATGCCAAGGGTTGCATGGGACAAGGCGAGGGACCTCACATGGGGGTTACTCACTGCGGCCGATCAGCTTGCTAAGGAGTTTGGGAGGTCTCGATGCGATATCTTAATTGCCACTGGTCTTGGAGTCACCACATCACATAAGAAGCGCAACAATGCTAATACATACAGGAGCTGGTATTGGAACACGCAGGAAATTCCCTCTGGCAGTGAGGCTCGTTACTGTCCAAACTATTGTTGTACTGACCCTCAACCTAGAAACACAGTCAGAGATCAATAAGATAATTGACATCAGCTACAGAGAACTTTTTAAGGGTGTAGCTGAGAAAGATGTTGAGACACGCAAGCAGTTGATGGTGCCCTACAATTGGTGGTTAGATGAACATGAAGAAGGCGGTGGTGATAAAGATATTAAGTCAGTCGCTACCCGCATCCAATGGTGCAAAGACCAAATGGCCAGCATGGTATGTGTTTGACCTCTCGTACTTTCAACTAACTTACATATATCTTCCAGGCTGAAAGTTGGTCCAATCTTGAGGATCTTGAGGTTGTAGGGGCGGTTATGTACATTGGTGATGATCCTGCTGGTGCTCAGACTTCCGGCATCTTTGGAGGATCTGAAAACGTCAGGGGATACATTGATGACAACCATGTCAACCTTCGGCAGATGTTGTCCACATACATGATGGTCTTATGGTGAGTTTTTTTGTCCTTGGTCAGCTACGGAACACGTCTCATTCGAGCTTAGTTATCGCTGGTTGCAAGGACAAGGCAATGCTGCGGGTTTGGATATCAACATCGCTGGTCCCAATGACAAGACATTTACTTCTTCGAATCCTCTTATGTCTGACAGGGCTTCCCTCCATCTCTGTTGCCAACACAAGGAGATTGCCCGCGATTGCAACCACCAGGTATTGGGTATCATGTTTAGGGAAAAGCTCACACAGGTCTTTCATGAAATATATGATGCGTATTTTCCTTGTGATTTCAGTTGTACTAGGCTGACATATTCTATAGGAAATGAGGGTGAGTACCCTGACCCTCAGAAAGTTCCAGCGAGCAGCTGGCTTTCTGCTGCCTATAAGCACACAATGTTCATCGCGCTCTGGCCTTTGGAGACCAAGTTTCCTGGGCCTAACTTCTCTCTCAAGAATAGAGAGTTGCGTGTCATTGTGGGTCCCTACCTGAAGCACAAACTGGGGGCTATGTATGACGACGAGCGGCCTGAAGGAAAAGAAGAAGAAAAACAGGAATTTGAGATCCTTCCTTGGGAGAAGGGTGAGTTGGTTCATTTCTTTTTGTTGTTCTCAACTCATTTCATTTTTCTAAGACTGGATCCAGTGGAGTGACCTCGACAAGTGAAAGCAGTCAATACCACTAGTTGCATCGGCTGAGGGATATTCGCTGTGGGAGCTTGGTGACTGTGAGGAGTGGAAGAAGGTATATCAGCTTGCAGTCAAAGAGAAGAATGTGGCCGATGTGTTAAGGTTGGGAACAGCAGGTGGTCCCTCATGTTCCTCTAACAAAACAGTTGCTCCAATTCCTATTTGTCCTCCCTCATCCAATGCTGTTGCTCGTTCCCGCAAGACACCTGCTCCCATGGTTACTCGTCCTCCCTTATGCACTACCAATATCATCACTGCCCCTTTCGCTGCTCCCATTGCTGTTCCTCGTGCACTCCCTCGCAAAGTCAGAACAGAACATGACAGCCTTGGTCGCCCTTCTCATTCCCAGCATCAAGTACCTCGTTTGCAACCTCAGCGCCTGCCCTCACGTTTGCAACCTCAGCGCCTGCCCTCACATTTGCAGCCTTTGCAGCCTTCCTTGTCCTCTTGTTGGGTTTCCAAGGATGTTAAAAGGTCTCCATGTGTTTGGCAGAGGATGGTGATTTCTTTAGTTTGATGTCTGTTGTATGACTGATATTGAATGCAATGCAGGACCACACTCACGGGCAGGGCCTTAATGAACAACCCAGCTTCAACTCCGTGCAGGGGGGATATGAGATGGGTGATAGAGAAGTGGTTGTCGATGATTTAGGTGTTGAAGATACTCTGCGCATTCAGCAGAGGATGGTACTTTTTTTTTTTGGTTTGCAAACATTTGTTTTACTTATATTCAATTCAACATCAGAACCATACACGCATACGCCCACCTCCCTTCCATCTACCTTTGGGTGGAGGCTGTTGGCAGGTGCCATGTCAACCTGTTTGCTATGCTGCACCAGTTGTCTACCAAGCTCCACAGCCAGCTCGCCATGTCTTTCATTCTCAATATCCACCTGCTCGTCACCACATCGAGTCTTACACAGCACAGCCTCAATGACTTGAGTCAACTCCTCTTGACATCTTAATTTAAATATGATAAAATTTGTGTCTTGATATAAGATATAGGAAGTATGGGATGTCCCATTGATTCAAATATACAAGGGGTGAGACATCTCATATGTGCTACTGGGATGTCCCACTGACTCAAATATACCAGGTATGGGATGTCCCATATGTACTGCACAGGACATATGGGATGTCCAATTGATTTGAATATACCATGTGTAGGATATCTCATATGTGCATATACCAGGTGTGGGATGTTCCATTCATTCAAATATACTACGTGCGGGATATCTCATATGTGCTGCACAGGACACATGGGATGTCCCATTGATTTGAATATACCAGGTATGGGACATATAGGATTTTCGGCATTGTTTTTTGAATGTAGGACGAGGGCTCCAGAAGGTAGGGGTTCTTCCAATCCCAGGTAACCAGCAATTCAAAAATAAGTGCAACATTTTTTAGAACAAGGACTCCAAAATGGAGGGGTTCTTCCAATCCCAGGTCACCAGCAATTCAAAAATCAGTGCATATATGTACACCAATGATTCAAGGTTTCAGCCACTATTTCAGCTCTTTCTGAGTCAAGCTTATCAATGCTAAGTCCAACAGGACATCCCATATGTGCTGCATGAAACATATGGGATGTCCCATTGATTCAAATATACCAGGTGCGGGACATTCCATATGTGCTATATGTGCTACATAGGACATATAGGATGTTCCATTGATTCAAATATACCAGATGTGGGACATCCCATATGTGCTGCACAGGACATATGGGATGTCCTATTGATTCAAATATACTAGATGTGGGACGTCCCATATGTGCTACACAGGATATATGGGATGTCCCATTGATTCAAATGAACATGGTTCAAGGAAGGGAACATGGAAGTTAGAGTAAGTGATTTTGTGGGTGTTTGCATCAAAAGATGCCCCGGGATACTATAGTATTGAGAGACTGTGAACACATCTCCCTGCCCAGGCTCAGGCATAGATACAATAGCTGAAGCAATGGTAGAGGAATGAGCAGTCTTGTTAACCTTGTATGAATGAAAGTCATTAGAAATATTTGATAAAATCAGCGCACACATTTCTTCATATGAAAGCATACATCTACTGGCAGTGCTAGCTGTCATCTAAAAGATCAATTTACATTGTGACTAGGAATCTGCATGGATACAGATAACCTGCACAGGTCCCAGGTATAGGTACAGGTATGGCTTAATGGTACTCATATGTAAGGCAGGGGTTTTCAACAAAATACACACTTTAAACATCATACCCTGAGTCTCATATCCTCATATCTGTCATAAAGCCCGTGCCTGCTATTAGGGTATGGGTATATCTATGAGTACATGTATGGGTATGATTTACCCGTGCGGATCCCTAATTTTGATATCTTCAGTGGTCAGTGGCAGTAATGATAGCATGGTAATGGTGGTAGTAGCAGAGGGGTGGTATAGTGGCGGTGGGGCAGGAGCGGTAGTATATTTTAGATAAAGGACCCCTGACACCCAGTGACGTGTCACCGATAACAGGACATCCCCCATGAGCATGATATAACTGGGATTGGAACAAGGGACTATCACAATGGAGTGGTTGTCCCATATGGTCCATGGGCCAAGAGACTGCAAGACATGGACCTATGAACCTGGGAAACTCATGGGCTACATGACACTTTGCTTCATCCCTTGACCTACAATGTTTAAGCATTATGCTATCTAAAAAGGGTTACCTGAAGTGGTATTTACTACTCTATATTCATTCTCCCCTTCGCTTCATAGAAAATTCCCACTCCATTTTATTTCATATAGTCCTATACCATCAAGTTTTTGTCTTGAAACTTAAGTGTTTATTTAACTTTTCTTTATCTTAATGGTTGTCCTATCTATTTTAATATAAATTCCTTGCCATATGATCTCATCCTATTGATTTTAACCTTATCTAACTAGATAAACATCTTTCAGCTATTAGCAGTCCAATATTTGTACTTGAAAGTAGCATCTTGTGTTGTCTTTTTATAGGTTGCAGACAGAAGAATTTGTTTTTCTTGATTATAGCTTTAAAGTGGGCTGTCTTGAGAGTCTGTCTGACTATTTGAGTACAGATAGTAATAGAGATGATGGAAATAATCAATTTGGTCACCTTATTAGCATCAGTGGCCTTTCCAATTAGAATATAGTGATTAAGAGATCTTAAGTCTTATAAAGCAACCTTCTAGATTGGCTACCAAATAACTTAAAGACCACAATATTACTATTCTATCATGGTCAGCATAGACCAAAGACATCAACCCTATTGAATACCTCTGAGAATCACTCAAGAAATTGCTTGTAGCATATCAAGATTCACCATAGGGGCTATTCCAACTATGAGACAGTGTTACAGCAGAGTATGATGGAGATACCAAAGAGGAATATCCAAAATTGATAGAGAATATGTCTAGAAGAGTGGCAGAAGTGTTTGGGGGCCAAAGGAGGTCACATAAAGTACTAGAATTATAGAGATTACATTAGTTAAACTCAAAGTCAAAAAGTGTCACAATGAGTCATCAAATAAAAATAATCATATATTTACATAATGTCATTATTTTCCCATAGTATAGGGAACCAAAATGAAGCTGAGAAGCAGACCTTTCCAACACCTTCTATAGTGTAGTCATATTCCCATGGCTTAACACATGGTATAGCAATTACATGAAAAGCTACAAACATTGGGACACTTTTTTGGGCTACTGTATGTGAGCCTCCAGCTACCAATCTGTCCTCTGCCACCTTGCACGGCAATAACACAATACCTAGGCCTCTAGGCCTTCATAATAGAAGAAAGAAGAAGAGAAGCCTGGAAGATACCAGCTTAGATAAGCAGTCTGGAACTGAATATAACAATATATGACAACATAGGTCTAGAAGACTACCATCACCATGATGCATGCAAAAACTTGTATAAAGCAAGGATATGTACCAAGGAGAACTCAAAACACTTATAGCAGAATAAAATAGATAGTTGTGTTGTGAATATTGTAAAAGCCAAAGGTGCATCCATCACTTAACGATCTCACAAAATACCTTACCATCAACCATAAATTTCTCAGCTAATCTCAAGATATGTTTACATGTGTGCAAGATAATCTTCAGTCAGAGATCAATTTCATTCATTTTATATTGACAGGTAGACTTGGTCTAAATGCCCAATAAGGCATTTCCCATCCCCCTCCTCAATACACTTATAAAAATAACTATCTCAAGAGTCATGCATACGACAATGAGATAAGACATGTCCAATAAAGTAACTGGTGGTAGTTATGAATTCTAACCATATTGAACTAAGGTGCTGAAATCCAGGTTCCTATGCATAAAATTCTCAATGTTCCTTTAGGAAAAGTAGAATAGTGGCATATTGTGAGAACTTTTTTCTTCAAATCATACACCAGTGTTTGAAGAGATATCTCAGATTAGATGTCTCAAAGGGACTAAGCAGCTCCTTTTCCTCGTCACTCGCCACCCAACTCACCATCCAACTTTATCTCCCATCATGGATCATGTCACCTGACTTCTATAGTCTACCATAGTCTACCTTTGTGGTAGACGCACCATAAGCAGCAACTTTGTGTTGCTTGCTGCTGTTAATTGCTTAGACTTCAGTCAGCAGTCTTGTCTTCACTGGTACTATGTTGTCTTCCACTAGCAGTATCTTAAATCTACCATCAGCATTATCTTCAACCCCTGGTATTATTTTCCACAGCTAGAACTGTCTCCCACAACCAGTATTGTCTTACATGATCAGTATTGTCTTCAACTGCCAGAATTGTCTTCAAATGCCAGAACTATCTTAAACCTTCTGTCACTTGCTGATTATTTTGATACTATTAGTGACATTCAGATTTCATTAAAGCCTGTGCTGTTGATATTTACAGGTAAGTACATTCATTATATTTCATCACTCTATCTTGGCTGACATCCAGCCTCTAACCAGTCTGTTTACTTCACTCAAGACTCCTCTTGTCTTTTGCCATAAGTTCCAATGCTAAGTTGGTTTGTGCTACATTTACTAACATCATGCGTTCATCAGATTTTGTCTGAATCTCTCAAGACCTCTTTACTATCTGCCTTCATGGTAGCATTTAAATCATCAGTGACTTCAGATTGCTTTGTAATTCCCTATTCTCAGCATCACTATTCCTGTAGCTACTGTTATGTTGATTCCTGTCTTTAAACCATTCATGTGTGATGACAACCATGCATTCTGATATCTTCATACCTCTACTGTCTTTGATTGATGATGTCTAGGTTATCTCACTGCTACTGATGCTTTCTGTGTGGCTGCATATGGCCACCAAGTCATCACTACTCCCAACATGAAGTTTATTCCGCATCAAGCATCCCAGGGATAAAATGGACAATGGTTACTCATTTCCCAATCCAAAATTGTTCATCAATGTTCTTTCTTGTAATCATTGATGAAGTACCTTGCCAACTGGCTAGCATGCTGCCCAACCTGGCTAGAATGTATCTACAAAGAAAGCCCTCAACCTCCTCATGCCCAGAACTGGCATGACTTTTTGATATCTCAGCATGCTCAGGTTAAGAGCTCTTCAACTTACAACATGCTATGCTTTGCAACATCATCAAGCGCATATTTGGCGTCCTCAAAAGCCGCTTCAAGATCCTCCTCCTTCCATCCAACTATGTGATGGAAGTGCAGGCATGTATCCCTCCAGCATTATGCTTTGTGCACAATGTCATCCATGTTCATGATCCAAATAACTTACAAGACTATCGTGACCTTGATCTTGTTCCAGGAGCACATGTCATATCCCGTATTCCGGACCTACATCCAATAATATTCCCACGCCTCATCCAGACCTTCGGATATCCTATCCATGTCTGCAGTCCTCTATCCATCTGGATCCCTGCACCTCCGCACATCCAGATCCAGATCCCTTTACCTTCGCAGCTAGCCTGCATCGTTCACCCTTGTCCCATTGCCCTAATATTATATCTTCCATATCCACGCATCTCATCTGGACCACATCCGATCTGGTCCGATCCGATCCTATCCGACGTATAGATACATTTCCTATCCGATATACGATA